TCATAAAATATGCATGCATATATGCATGTGATACGTAATAAAAAAGAAAGAACTGGCTTTATCTATGCAATTTGAAAAATTAGAACTGAAGGAATGGTGATTTGAGGATCAATTAAAATTTACAATAAATTCATAATAAGAAAATAAGATTGGTCAAACTGGGGTAGTAATCCTCTCCAGCATTGCCATAAGCTGATATCCCAGCAAAACCTATAGGAACAGACCAGGTTATGTGGCTCCCCCAGATGCTAATCAAGCACTATTCAGGGACTCCCTGAGCCAGATGTGATTCCTCTGTATTAAGCAACTCACAATTATTAGTTTTTCATGAATTTGTCCAGCCTCCTTTTCAACCTATGTAAACTCTAAGCCTCCATGTCTATCACCTCAGCTACTCATCATGTGAAGAACCACCTCCAGTTTTTGTATTTTCATCCTGACTCCTGCTAGTTTCATATGATGACCCTTACTTCTTGTACTGGAAGTGACAGTAAATAATTTATCCCTCTCCAGACTATCCACATTGCTAGTAATTTTACAGATTGCTATCCTATTCCTCCACTCCTCCCTGAGCTGTCTCTCTAAAACAAGTCATACTTACTATGCATGTGTAGTGACATCCCTAATGCCATTGATTTTACTAGAGGATAGGAGCCTAAGCAGACAGGATGAATTTAGCATAAGTCACAGAATAGCTGAGGTTAGAAGAAACCTCTGGAGATCATCTAGTCCAACCTCCCTGCTTACAGCATGGTCAGTTAGAGAAGGATGCTCAGGACAAATCTAGTTGGGTTTTGAATTTCTCCAAGGACTGATACACCACAACTTCTCTGGGCAACATGATCCACTGCTTGACATCCTGACATTAAAGAAGTTTTTTTTCTTACATTTTATGGAATTTTCTGCATTTCAATTTGTGCCCATTGCCTCTTGTCCTGTCACCGGGCACCGCTAAGAAAAGTCTGGCTCCATCTTCTTTACTTCCGTCCATCAGGTATTTATACACATTGACAAGACACCCCTGAGCCCTAAGAAGTATTTTGACTGGGACCACAGCAATGAAAATAAGATAGAAAAAAATATCTGGGGATTTTAGTTGCAAACTAAAGTTGAATAAAGGAAGTTTAAATAAATAGAACATTAAAAAAACAACCGAACAGTAACTTATCTTAGTTTTCTCAAAATAGCAACTGTTGCTCATGTTCTGATGACTTATCTGGTTCTTGATTTAAATAAGAAGAGAAAAGGAATCAGGTTATTATAGATTTGCCATCAAGAGAAGGTTGTGAAGGGGTGTACTATAAACTTTGATTTTCATTCACACTTAAATGTCATCTCGGTAGTGTTATTATTAGGGGTCATATTTCATTATTTGTTTTCATCAAGATTTGTAAAGCTCAAAAATATTTCTATACACACAAGATTTGAATGTCTATGTTAATAATAATAATAATAAAACTAATAAAATAACTGCAAAGAATTTACAAACCTAAATCTCAGCAAGTATAATCCAGTCATTAATGTCATATGAAATGCCTGTAACCCAGTGGATTATTATATTTTCTTCTTGTATTCATTTAATAGAGATTTGTTATTTCATAGCAACACAGTCTTAAGAACTCTTTCATAACAACAATCAAGGTAAATCTAAAATGAATATAGCACCTGCTGAATCACATTGTTTACTGTTGTGAAGGATCAGTTGTATTTATGTGGATATGGACATCTTATTCTTTAGGCAAGAATATTTTCAAGGTAGTCTCTAGAATAATATTGTCAGTAATCTGTCGAATCATTCATTGCTTTTTGCTCCATAATGAACTCTGCTTCCACAACCTAGAGTAAATCCTTAGTACCTGTGATTTTATTTTGAACAGCAAAATTCAGAGCAAATTTATAAAATAAGTAAAAACCATGAAAGTATAAAATATTTAAACATATCTTTGCGCAAGAGATATCATCTACTGTTGGTGCTTTTCAAATCCTTGCTATTTGACTCACTGACAATATTGCAAAGTTGCTTTTCAAGAATAACAGCATTTTCAGATTTGTGTGGTAGCATTCTTAAATCCAAATATTAGCAATCTTTTATGTTCTGACCCCACAGAGAGATTGTCTGAACTTTCCTAACCAGTGGCATTTTCAGCTTTCTTGGGAGGGCGGGGAAGACTTTTTCCTTCTTCCCTGAAAGTCCTTTCAAATGTTCTGTTACAAATTTGTCTTCAGTTCTGTATATAAGCTTATCAGCTAGAATTCCTTAGATATTTCCCTTCTTAGCTGAATGCTTTACATTCAGACTTTTATTTCAGCACCACTAGTGCATGTCATAATTATTTAAGTTAAAATGTGGATTTGTTTTGTGCCAGTGAAATGTCTCAATGCCTTCATGTGCAGAAGGCATTTTACAGAATGTCTTGTGATTTGCTGGGGGGGGGAGGGGGGGCACTGTTGGGACATTTAAGATGATACTAGACATTTGTGCACCAGTATGTTATGTTTGGAAATTTAAACAAAAGTATTTCTCTCAATTCTATCCCTTCTGTGTCTTTTAAGCATTATCTTAGCTTCCTGTTGCTCTGGGAGAATTTGAGGTTTGTGGCTCTTTCCACAATCGACAGAAAGACAGGCATCCACTTTAACATCTTGATTTTGCAAGGGTTTGTAGAGACTTTTTGAAGATATAGTGCTTAAACTGAAATAGTTATCTGATAGAATTTACAAGTGCACAGGGGTTCCTTAATCCCATTGACTTTTTGTCATCTCAGATGCCTTGACGTATTTTAAATCTTGTAAATGTCATAGTTGTCGGATTACCTTTTAAAAAAATAAGGTGTTAAAAACCTGACAAGCGTCTCTTAAAAAGAGAGTGAGAGAACATGGAATTAAACTCAAATTTCCTGAATCCCAGGTTATGCATAAATGAAAAGCAATTCTTTTCCTTAGTTCTATAAAGCTGTTTACAAAAAATACCCCTGTTAAGATAAAATTGTTTGATCACTCTTTAAGAAAGGTCTTAAAATATTATAATTCTGATTTTTATAGGACAATTGCATTAGTAATTACATACCAATTTTTTTTTGTTTTAAATCTTCCTGGAGGTTTATTAATTATCTGATAGAAACATCTCAGTTACAAACCTCTTAAAGGTCAAAAATATGCATTTTATATTCAATTTGGTATTAATTTAACATAAACCAACTCACTCTCTAATGTGGATTTTGTGTAGCAGCATGTTTAAGACCACATTTCTGTCTACCCATTTTGGAAGTCAGGCTCCCATACAGACTGTCCTCCTTAGAGCAAATGGCAACCTATTCAAGACACCTAATGTTCACCCAGTATCCGCTACAAATACAACTTTCTCAGGAGCAAGCACGCCACATGATGTCAAAGAGTCAAACACTGCTCTCACTTATGTTGACTTTACTAGTGAAATACATGTAAAGGACTAATACAGTTACTAAGAGCAGAGTTTGGCTAAAGGATTGCACATCCGTAAGTGAGCAGTGTCAGACACTTATTGTAGCTGTGGCTGCAGGGTAGGAAGCATTGCTGTGTGTATGCTACATGAGGAAGTATTGCTAAGTACCTCCACAACTGTGAATTTTATATAATTAAACCTGTGTTGTAACTAGTAGCAAATATATAATTTTTTTTTTTTTCCAGAGCTCTGTTTTAGGCCCACTCTGCAGAATCAAGTTGCCTTTTCTGTGCTGGCAAGATGTGTGAAAATTAAAACCATCACCTTCCATGTGAAAACTTGCCATGCTGGCAAATGGGCCCTGCCACTCCATCTGCTTCCCTATCCTGTGAGAAGAGAGCTTTTGTTGGCTTAGTTTGTCTTTCAGGGAACATGGGATACCTTTGTTGATAGTGAAAAAAACCACAAACCTTTCTTGTTACCATATGCTGTCTTTTCCTCAGCACTCTGCTGGTAGAAGCTATGCTAATCGTGCTTTTAATGCAGCCCTGTCCAATTGTACCGAACGATCCAAAACTTATTTAAACTATACACCTTTTAAAGTGTCATTGGGAGATTAATTTACACAACTTTGAAATACCTTTACATTTCCCCAAGAGAGTAAAGGGAACTTTGCGTATGTTAATATCAGACTTGTGAGCTAAGTATATCTGATAGCTATTAATTATTCAATGCTACAGAAAGTAAGCTGTAGACCTGAGGTGAATAAAAGACTTCTGATTCATGAAAGACTTGGGCTGACCTTGCCAGTGCCATTAATCATGAGTAGAGCTCAGATATTCTATAGCACTGCAGAGATTTTAGAAGGAGAATATAAGGATATATGCACTTCAGGGGCCATAAACCATCGTCTTACAAAATGTCTATGCCTTAGATCATCAGAAAAAGTCACATGAAATAGTTTTACAGGAGAACTTCCATGGCAGAATGCCTTGCGTGTATCTGTACTTCTGTTACCTGCACAGCTACATTTACGCATGGGTATGTACATAAAGTGTGGACAAACATACTGTTTTATATTTTTATTCTGCCTTTGTTAATATTTGGCAAGAACAAAATTAATAAGGTTTCCATCCTCAAAAGCTTTTTAAAATGTTTGATGTGGGTTTGACAGTGAAATACAATGATATGCCAAACTGTAGCAGATGGTCAGTTGAAAAATAACTATCTCTATAACATGTATGCCTATAGCACCTACGGAGCAACAATCTAATTGCAAAGAAAAGTGATGTGGAGTTTTTTACATATACTTCTTTAGTGATACTTACAAGGGGGAAAAAAAAAGTCTTGGTATTAAAAATACAATAATAGTCTTAAAAAAACCCTCTCCATTTTACGTTCTAGTAATAGTCTCATTTTAAAAGAAGAGGGGGAGCCAAGGGAAATTTCCTTCACATAAAGGAATAGCTGCTTTCACCTTTTTATTATTTTGGGAAAATGTAATATTTGCATGAACATTTAAAATATTCATTGATGTATGCTAAGAACTTTTCCTTTTTAATTTGGGCTTTACATCTTAAGAGTGAGCAATAGCATTTTAAGTTTAAATTTCCAGTGGAATTTTGGAAGAAGAAATATGACATCTTGACATACTGCTTTCTTCTTTTAAAAAACCAAACACAACCCACAAACACAACGTACACCCCCCCGCTTAGTTTTAGTCATTAGATATACTCCAGGAAGTGATCTCTTTTTTTGTTCTAAAAGAAGTCAGCATGTTGCTATTGCTTCTTGTCTTGAAGTTCTTGTCCAATTTACCATTCAGTTTTGTAACACCATCACAGCAGACTCTTTACCATTTAAATGATAAAAGTTTCAATAGGCACTTTAGTGGAATTACGAAAAAGCTACCACTCTTCCACCGTGATGCCAGAAAGCTATCTTCTTTCTAAGTCAGGTCAGTAAACTGTACCTTGTAGGCCTGAGCTTGTCTCAGTGTAATTCCAGAGTAACAAAATAACAACAAAAACCTGTGTATATTACAGGATTTATCTTTCCTTCGCAGATCAAACCAAAACTGACAGTATGATAAATGTAGTAACTTGCTGGAAACAGTTGCTGTCTTTTATAATGAAAGGAATCCTGTCCTATTATAAAGCTTAGGTTTATCTTTTAAATTTGTTGTTGGTTTACTTTTCTTTTTATTTCACTGTTGTAGGTGTACTTAAGTGACTTTGTCAGGGTTATAACTTTCTTCTTCTCCAAACATATCTGCCAAGATCTTAAAGCGAGGTCCCCAGTCACTCAGATAGTCATAATCTTGGTCTGCCTCTGTAGTTAGGGAGTCTATAGAGCTGAGAGACTCTGCAACAGATCCATTTCCTTCATAAGCATAGGTTGCCAAGGAGTCATAAGGGGGTGCAGTTGGATCTACATCATTTTCCTGTAGCCTTTGATTAATGAAATCTCTTATGTCTGTGTTATCTTCCACTGGTGGTCTCTGACGCGGAAAACGCAAGGTGTCTGGTTTTATGTCTCTGCGTATTTTGTTATCTTCAATCACTTTGGGATTCCTCAGGGCACCTATGTCGAAAGCCTGGGTGTCCTCTTCTCCACCTCCTTCATCATCATAATGGATAACGTTGTCTCTGATGTCTTCTTTAGAGGTCATCAGGGTGTCCTTTTTCTTCTGCCTCCGTAGTGCTACATACAGTACCACAATGACTGTAATGAGAGAAAACTGAAGTTAAGACATGCACAGAAATAATTTGGTACTCTCATAACATATCATTGTCTCTTCCTTTGAAAGTTGCAAGCAATCAAAGGGACTTTTTTCCTTAGAAGATATGCTCCTACTATTCTTTTAAAAAAGCAGTGCTCTAGTCAATGAAAAGTCATTTACTGTTTGATGTATGACTCTAACTCCTTAGTGCTTGCTGTGCTGCTGAAGGAAGTAACAAATAATTTTCCTGCTGGCGTGCTTTGCGAACAAATAGAATTGGACAGGACTTCAGCTTTTTAGTTCAGAAAGACAGATTTTTTTTTAAAATGTTTTCCATAGCAAAAGAGAGAAAAATCCCCAAGTTCCCACACTGCAGAGAAAAAAAACCCCACACTATTAAAGGGAAAAAAAAAATATTTGGAATCTTTGAAATGGAGAAAAAATAATCCTACTTCAGCTATTTATACAGCACACTTTGGCCTCTTCAGGGATCTGCTTTGAAAAATCCCATGTGATATTGTTCTGGAGAGAAAAGGGGTCTAGGAGAGCTGGTTGAATTTCAAGTATCACCTCCTCCAACCTCAACAGTGGTCCATCCTGATGAGCATGAAATCAAGCAAAGGCAGCAGGAGGCCTGCATGGATGAATAAAGAGCTCCTGACTAAACTCAGAGATAAAAAAGAGGCATGTTAGAGGTGAAAACAGAGACAGGTGAATCAGGAGAAATACACAGTGACTGTCTGAACATGCAGGGATGCGGTTAGGAAAGTCAAAGACCATCTGCCGTTGAATCTCATGAGGGACGTGAAAGGCAACAAGAAGCGCTTGTACAAATATGACAGCAGCAAAAGAAGAAGTAGGGAAAATGTGGGTCCACTGCTGAATGGGGCAGGGGACCTGTTGACAAAGGACACAGAAAAGGCCAACCTACTCAATGGCTTCTTTGCCTCTGTCTTTATTGGTAAGGTTGTCCTTCAGGAATCCCAGGTCCTCTGGGTCTGGAACAAGAAAGACTTATCCTTGGTGGAAGAGGATCAGGGTAGGGAACACTTAAACAAACTGGACTCACACAAGGACATGGGACCTGATGGGATGCACACGAGTGGTGAGGGAGATTAGAGGTGTCATTGTGAGGCTATTTGCGATAATATTTGAAAGGTCATGGGGACTGGGAGAAGTTTCTGAGGACTGGAGTAAGCGTCATTCCTATCTTCAAGAAGGGTAAGAAGAATGAGCTAGGGAACTACAGGCCAGTCAGCCTCACCTTGTTCCTGAGGAAAGTGATGGAGCAAATAATTCTGGAAACCATTTTCAAATCTATCAAGAACAGGACGGGGATCAGGAGTAGTCAACATGGATGTATGAGGCTGAAATAGTGCTTAACTCACCTGATAGCCTTCTACAATGAGGTGAGTGGTGGATGAAAGGAGAAAAGTGCATTACTTTTATCCTAACTTTAGCAAAGCTTTTGACGCTGTCTCCCGTAACAACCTTCTCAGAAAAACTGAGGAAGTGTGGACTAGACAAGTAGACAGTGAGGTGCATTGCAAAGCTGGCCAAACTGCCAGGCTGTAAGGGTTGTGATCAACAGCCCAAAGCCCAGCTGGAGGCCAGCCACTAGTGGTGTACCCGACACTGGGATCAGTTTTATTTAACATCTTCATAAATGACCTGGATCATGGGATTGAGTGCACCCTCAGCAAGTTTGCAGGTGATACAAAACAGGGGTTGCACCACCATTCAGAGGGACTTCACCAGGCTGCAGGAATGGGCCAACAGGAACCCCATGAAGTTCAACAACGGGAATGCCAAGTCCTGCACGTGGAGAGGAATTACCATATACTGTAGATGCTGTTGGCTGACTGGCTGGAAAGCAGCTTGATAGAGGACCTAGAGTTCTGGTGGACAACAAGTTCACCATGAGCCAGCAATGTGCCCTTGTGGCAAAGGTGGCCAACAGCATTTGGGGTTGCATTAGGAAGATTGTTGTCAGCAGGTCTAGGGAGGTGATCATTCCCCTCTGTGCAGCCTTAGTCAGACACACTTGGAGTTCTGGGTCCAGTTCTGGGCCCCTCAATACGAGACAGACATGGACTTTCTGGAGTGAGTCCAGTGCAGAGCCACAAAGATGATTAAGGGATAGGAACATCTGCCATACGAGGAAAGGCTGAGAGAGCTGGGACTGTTCAGCCCGGAGAAGAGAAGTTTCAGGGGATCTTACCAACGTGTATAAATACCTGATGGATGGAAATAAAGAAGATGCCCAGCGACAGGACAAGAGGCAACGGGCACAAACTGAAATGCAGGAAATTCCATTAAAACATAAGAAAAAAAAGCTTCTTTACTGTCAGTAGGGTCAAGGATTGGATCATGTTGCCCAGAGAAGTTGTGGTGTATCTATCCTTGGAGATATTTAAAAGCCAGCTGGATACTGAGCAACCTGCTCTAACTGACTCTGCTGTGCACAGGGAAGTTGGACCAGATGGTCTTCAGAAGTGCCTTGCAGCTGTGATTTTGTGATTCTATATAATACAAAATGTTACAAACTGTGTTTTATTCCGAATGGCAACTCAATGGCAATCAGCCTGTGGGGGTTTTTTCAATAGTTTGTCTTTGGAGATATACTTCATTGAATGCAAAGTCTGTTTGTAGTAAACTGGTCTTTTTGTTATTTTTAATTCCCCAACTGTCTTTAGTAGAAATGACAGTGTTCTAAGTGCTGTTGGTGAAGTAACACAATAATGAATATGGGAGTTGCAATGATTATAAATTCATGGTCAGGCTTGTGTGGCCTAAAATAACTTCTGATTCTGGTTATATGTTGACTGTCTTTTGCATAGAAATGAGTTCGACAAGAATGACTTCTACTAAAATTTTAATGACTCTGTGTCAGGCCAGGTTCACAGCAAGAAATGAAAATCCAAAAGCATTTTTTAAATTGATCAATGGAATAGTAAGGAGAAAGTCTGGATATAAGATAAACACCATTCTCTTAGGTTACACACAGCACTGGATATCTCATTATTTATACATTAGTTTTTCTGGGTAGTATTGCCAGGCTGATTGGAATGAAGGGAGTTATTAAAGGACCAAAACCTCTTCTCCAACCATAATCTCAGTAATTCAGTCTGGCGTTCTGTGCAAAGCAGGAATTAAAATAGCTTCATTAGTTTTGTATACACCAAGAGCATCAATCAGCAGTAGAGCTGGTAAGGAGTTCTTTGACACAATTATTTTTGATTGAATATGCTGGGGTTTTAGAATAAAAATTGTATTTATTTCAACAAACCATTAGGGAAACATAAACATAGTTCTGTTGAAGGCTTCTATGATCACCTAGCAAAACTGGAGGAAATTCAGACTTCAGGTATTCCTGCTTCCCCAGATAGTCTGCCATTGTAAATGATCTCTGTACTAAAAGCACGAAGCTCTCTGCTGCATAGTTCACACTGTCCAGATTACTGGACACAAAGGTGGCAACTTGAAAGGCTTTGCTACAGCTATGTATTTAGGGCTTCTAGTCACTTTGCTCTGTAACAGAGAGATTAGATATCCTGGGAGTCCTGCTTTAAGACAGAGCTCTAATTGACTTATCTCTTCACATGAAAATAAGTTAAAGCTTTTTTTCATAATGGAATTTCTTTGATGCTAAGGCTCACTCCTGGCTGCTTTTACCCAGGAAACCCCTAAAAGCAAAAAAAGCAGTCCCAATGAGTTGTGGTAGAGGAGACAGCATTCTTCCTGCTTCTGAAAAATTGACCGAAGATTGTTCTGTTGTGGTTTGGTTTTTTTTTCTTCACAATGGGTGTATTTGTTATTAATTCTTATTCCATGGGAGGTATGACCATTTGCCATTCTCATTCTGATTTGAAACAATATTTTTCTCACAACATAAAATTTTTACACAGAAATTCTGACTTTTGCCCTTTTTTCTGACTTTTGCTACTCAGAAGCTATTTATGTAACCCTGAGCCTGTAGTAGTTTACTTAAGTGGTAAATTACTATATTATGCAAATGCAAGGAGATATCCATATGTTATATTCTGTGTCTGCATCTATTTTTGCCTATGCATTAGACCTACATAAGGAGCAGCATGAGGTCTAGGAAGCCCACTAGTATCAAGAAGAGGCATAGGCTAGCACCTGTAAGAATCAGGCTGCTTTCTGCAGCCCACATTGTGCCTGTGTAAGGTACAAAGGTGGTTTGATTTCGTTATCAGTTCATTAAGGCTATATCATAAGTAGGATGTACATGAGTATTGACTGCTTTGGGCCTGCTGTAAATAAGGCAATATTTAAATATAATGTCAATCAAATGACAACACCACCTTATGTAATCCATGCCTGCCTGAAATTAAAATGTTCCTGTAAAGTTTTACATGGATCTAGCCAGCCACAGTCTACATTACAATTATTTTCTCCTCTTTCATTGCTTCGTTCTCCTTTTGCCCAAGTTGGCATGAAGAATTAAAGAAAGGCCCTTATTAAATTCTTACTGCTGTTACTGTCAGTACGACTTGTCTACCTTAGTAATAATCTAAAAATATTAATTCTCAAGAAAGGTATTTAAAAAAACTGTTTCAGAGAAAAAAATTATGGTTTGGATTCCACTGAAAGCTGGTTCTCTTCATGCAATAAGAAAATATGTAGGTGTTAGCAGGTTCACAGTCATGGTCAGTGCTTTTGGATGCTTTTCTAGAAACATAGAAGCATAAAAATTCTCATAAACTGCCGCACATTTTCAATGGCTGTTGTTAAACAACAGATGAAGCTAATAACACCACAAATTAATTCACAGGTGAATAATCAGAGTGATACACTTCATGTGATTTCAGGAGAACTAACCTAGAAGTATAACAATACACAGCAAGATTGCAATCAGTGCTCCTGTGCTGAGGCCTACTGGTAAGAAGATTGCTTCCACGTTGCAGGACAGGATGGTACCATCAGAATCACATCTGCAAACACGGATAGTCATTGTGTTTGTGCTGCTCTGGACAGGGTAACTGCTATCTTCTATTACTACTGGAAGAAAGTACAGCTCTTGCTGCCTTCTGCTGTAACCATTTCTCCTGGTTTCAATCCCAGCTGTGTTGTCTGTAAAACACAACACGGTCATTACAGGATTTTTATTGTGTACTTCAATTCACCGTTGTAGTTTGTATCATCTTTAGTAATAGGCAGCTATTCCATTTTTGAAACTCAGTGACATGCTTTATGTAATTGCCTTGTTTTATCATTACAAAAGGTATTGTATTCTGACTGGTACAGCTATTTTTTGCAGAGCGTTAAATAATATCCCATTTCTTGTAAAGTTGTTACATTGACAGCTAAAATTTCAAAGACAACATAAATAATAATTAAAAAAAGCATTACAGGTATTAGATTAGGAGGGGGTTTCACTTTTTCTTTTCTCCTTATCGCCTCACATTCCAAGCCTGTGGTCCAAAGGACTTTGATTGCACATGAATTTAGAATCAAGTCTCTATTAATTAATCAATTTCCCTTTAAAACTGAAAGTAATATACCTGGATAAAGTGCTAATCCCCTTCAACTTTCCTGCCCCATTAGAAATAAGTACACAAATTAACTGAGTACTTTATAATCACTACATTTTCCATCAATGAGTCATGAATGTGTTCAGAACTCCTAAAAGTTATGTTTTGTCATTTGTTCCCAGTAGATACTCAGTTATTGCTGCTTTTCTTGAATCAAACAGAGTAGCAAGGAAATGATGTGCAGATTAAAAGAATTACATTGAAAGCAAGACCCAAATGAAATTAGCAGGGAATTAATTAGCTGACAGATCTGAATGAAGGCAGCCTGCAGCTGTCACCATTTTGCCATCTCACCCATGTGCTTTACTGTATCTTTAGAAGAGGTCTCTTGCTGTCCACATTATGACTTTCATCCCTTCTTGGTTTTGTCACTAGGTAGAAGGATTAAGGGCTCTGAATTCAACACTCAAATACTTGTGTGCAGTTCTGATTAAGGACAATAAGAAGGAACCCTAAATATCCAAAACCAGGTATGTTATGATCAGACACTATTGAAAAAGCACTCGACTGATAAAATGCTTATTGCAGAAGTCCCCTTTTTATCAAACTTGGATGTGGCACATGGACACATCAAGTTCAGTGACATTTAGTTTTGAAAAAGAAAAAAGTCTCAAAATTGTTTGAATCAAACCAACTTCCATCTTCAGCTTGTTCTTTCTCTCTATGATTAATCTGCCCTGTATAGAGTTTTAGATCTAATTTGAAATCATACAGCTTAATCTTATTTCTATTAATAGAATTATTTCTATTCCTTTTTTTTCTTCTAATTGCAATGTTGAAGATCACTTCAATACCTGTTACAATGCAACCAAATGACTTTCCATTCTCCTTTGAGAAGAATCAAGCAGATCAAGCTCTTAAGTCTTTGAACAATTTTTGTTACTCTTCTACAACCCCTTTCAGTTGTTCAAGCTCCTTTTGAAAATATGGTCACAGGCATGTGTTTGAACTCTACACAGAGCAGCCTGAAGCTGAGACAGCTTCTGGTTCTTCGGTCTGTTGGCAATAAATTCATTTTCAGGATGCGTGTGACAGTCTGGGGAGAAGGAAAATTCTCTCTTACGTGAGCAACTGAGTGTTCTCAGCAGGGAAGCAGCACTCCAGAGAGCAGAGTGAGGCCAGCAAAGTGGAACGAGGGGGGTGGGCAGTTCGGCTGGAAGCACTCCAGCTCTGCCAGGGCCTTTCGCTTCTATTCACAGCTAGTGGGTTGCTCTCCGCGCTGCTGAAGGCATAGTCTAGAAACATAACACTTCCCTGTGTTTATTTTTCTAGAGACTCCACACGGCAACCTCGAGCTTCTGTCTTGCTTCTGTCCCCATTAAGTTATATTCTGAGGAAGTATGGAACCTGGAAAAGTTTATTCTCTTGGGTGCACTACAAACATATTACACCTGCTGTAATATCACACCGCCCATGATTTTCAGCTGTATAGTTTAGCACTGGTTACTGGGCTTCTTTATGTGTTTAAAATGTTAAATGACACCTTCACTTGTAAAAGCGTTAATTGTAACAGAGTGAACAAGATTGTTTCCTCAAAAAAAATCAAAATTCCTTTCACAAAGTACTTGCTTGGTACTAACATAATTGCTAACTCAAAAGATAATGGCATTTATGTTTTTAAAAAGTTTATGTAGGGAAAATAAGGTTGTGTTATTATACCTCTAAATTGTGTGCAGGGTAGACCTTCCACCTTTTTGGCAAGCAAAAAGCAGAAGATATTGAAAATATTGTACAGAGTTTCTGTTTGGACAGATCTTTCTAATAGCTCTGTAAAATCATCAACAATGAAAAAGTCTTTTATGGTTGGAAAATGTTCCACAAAAGCTTTTTTTCTGTCTTCCTTATGTTTCACTAAATAGCGTGCTCTTTCTTCTTTTTTAGTAAGTGTTAAGAAATGCTTTTAAGAGTGTGTATATAGGTACATGCACACACAAACATTTATGCATGAGAAGCTGTGTGTCTTGGTGGTTTCTAATTCCATCTTTTATGGGAATATTGCATTTGGTTTTATACAGTAGAGAAAATTTATTAACAGACTACTGAGATCCAAAGTAATCTTGCTGTCAACATCACTGGTTTAAACAGCAAAATTTAATTATCTAATAATATTTGAGCAATTTCCTCACCAAACTCATATTCTAAGCACACTTCACAAAAGCTGTAAATGAGAAAGGTCATTGAGTTTAATTATGGTATAGCCTTTTTAAGTGTAAAGATTCTTTTGAGGAATTAAATATGTTAAAATGACCTGAGATGAACTGGAAGGCTTACATTTAAAACAATAATTTGTAATTATTTGAAAAAATCACATCTTGGTGAAATTATAGGATATTTTAGTAAATGGACAGAAAGAAAGAAATTAAAGCTCTTACTTTAAAGAAATCTTGACCAATAGAGCAAAGGTATTTAGAAATACACAGTAATTGTGTTATAAGACAACGTAACTATGAAGGTATTACCCATCTGGGCCTTCAAATGTGTTGAAAAGTGAAAAAATTAAAATAATTCATGTCAAATATAAGGAAGCTCTAAAGAAGTATATTTTCCTTCTGTTAAGATATACAGAACATTTTTTTTTCCTTTTTAATTATAATCAGTAACAAAGTTCATCATGCTGAGTTTTCCAAGCAAATACTACCAACAGCTAAGTAGTGAACAGAAAATAACAGAAATTACAATGCAGCATTAAGGGGAAGCAAACTTAAGCACTGTCCAAAATTTTAAGTCCAGTGGGACACAGATGTAAAGCATTTAAATCTCACTTGGCAATATATAGTTAGATATTGAAATGCCACAATGTTTTAAATTCTAGTAGCTGTTAAAACCAAACTGTTTAGACTAAGCACTTCTGGAGAAGAGTAATGACCTAATCTTCCAAGAACAGAAGTGAGGGGACTTGAATGCATTGTAAGGTTGTCCTTCATATTCATTGAGCTGTCTGTCTCAAGAAAACTATTTGAATGGCCTCTGATAAAATCCTGATCTACATATTTTTGTTTTCATAGGTTACTATTAGTCATGTCTGCAACATTATGAATTATTATGGTTTCACTATGTACTGTATTTACAAGTCATTAAGTCAAATTCTTCGCTCATCTGTAAAATGTTTTTAGCTATCTATGACATACTAAGATGAAAGTCACTAGTAAGTTTGGGAATAAAGCATTTTTGTCTTGTCATCTTCACAGAGGAGCTATATAAAAAGAGAAAATAAGTACAGTTTATTTTTCTGCTGTTTCAAACTTATTTCTTCCTGAACTTCCTTAATGATAAAGGTCTCCATGATTAATAGTTGTACTTATTTTGCTGGCTTTAATTTTGTATCACCTTACATTGACAAAAGTTCATGGCTTCAAAAATAATGTGAGTCATATACTTAAATGGTTTTTTAAAAGACTAAATAAGTGGCCTCTGCAACTACTTTCATTCTGTGTATTATCCATTTCTAGCCCTTTTTAGGGCTGGGGTTACTTAATTCTCACGAAAGGAACCTTTACATCATACTCAGTATAGTCTCAAATGTAAATTAAAAATAATAATGAATATAATTAATAACATTAAAAAATAAGTATTATATACTTTTTCTTAAAAGTAATACTTTTAACCTACATAGTTAAATTGGCAAAGGAATGTTACTGAACTTTATTGGATGGCTTTAGGTGTTCTTTGCAGAGTAATGTAAACCCTTTTTTATGAAAAGCTTATCCTATCACAGTTCTTTAAAGATCACCTAATAGCTGATAAACCCATTGTTAATTTTTTTTCCATATTTGATCAACATAATCAGTGGTGAAAATTTACTACAGTTTATGATGATGTTTTAGCTGTGTTCATCCACAAGACTACATGCTTGAAGATGTTTACAGCAGAAAAAAAGATCAATTTTTTCATCTTGGGTTGTTCTTTGCCATTTATCAAAACCATTCAAGTGAAAAAGAAAAAAAAAAAGATGATCATTTATGACAAAAATTGGGGAAAAATCAGAAATGTTAATTATATAAATCTATAAATCATTAAGAGTGTTGTGGGATGTTATACTGCAGCAGCTCTGTCCATATTTAGAACTAATTCTTCTGCAGGACTATGAATCCTCCAGAAAGAACAATAACTGGGTACTTTGAAAACAATTAGCAAAGTAATAGTATTTAAACAAGGCAGCAATAGTGCCTTGTTTAAAGGTATACCTGCATTGGCATATGAGCTCTTCCTGAGATACTGAATGATAAAAGGAAGAAAATAAAACAGGTAGCAGTGTTTTTGCAGGCCTGTAGGGAAATCTCAGCCTTTGGTGTTCTGACAATTCCTGTCCCCTAAAAATGAGAAAAGGTGCAAGACCTGAATTTATATTAATATATGTCCTAGATAGTTTAACAATTAGAAATGTCAAATAAAAAAGTTAGTCTGTAGACATGACTGTAATACAAAGTAATCATATTTGTCATTACAATCACAGCCTGCTGCTCTGAAAGAGAGATACGGGTAAGGAACTTACTTCTGTAGTCATGGATTGTGAAATTTGGTTTGTTGGAAGCCTCGGGTGACAGTCTGAAGGAAAACCTTTGCCCAGCTGGCGACAAATCTTTGTCTGCTGCAGTGACAGTCTGTATCACCTGAAACCAGATTAAGATTAATTCTGAAGTCAGTTCAGTCTTCTAAAGAAGCAGTTTTGTAGAAGTGCAAAGGGAACATCAAATGGAACAATGAAAGTGAAATCCTGCTGGGTTACTCTCATTCCCCTAATCTATTGGACATTGGAGGCAAGAAGTCTGAATACTCTAGCCTCCAGAGAGCTCGTGATGTCTCAGAAAGTCTTGCTTTGACCTATCTGAAGGAAATCAGAAAGATTTACCCTAGATTCATAGCAGAAGTATTTAATATTTGTCCTTTGTATCAAAATACTAGTGATTGTTTTCAGGTCAGTGATTACTTAAAGACAGTTCACTTTATCTGCTACTATCACTGTTACGACTGGTACATGTTGTAGCACTTCACAAAGCTGCACCCTGATTTTACAGCTTGAAACAAAGCAGGGAGGGTTGAAAGGTCTGCACCATCTAGGCGTAAAGGAACATTTGGGTCCCAGAGTCCTACCTACTAGATGTCAGATAAGCACAGTGCAGTTAAAATAGTAGGATTGCCACTGTTCTTTTAAAAAGGAAGGCATTTTTTTAATGTAACAAAGATCTAAATATTTATAATTTTTGACAGCTCAGTGCTTGTCTCAGCCTTCCCTGTAAAAGGTTCCCCCTTCTACTGTTAGTGCCTGGATAAGAAACTGAAGGTCTCTGATAAACTATAAGTTAAATTGGGATGTATGGTAGCTAGTTGAAACATACTAAAAAAAAAAAAAAAAAGAAAGAGATAGGAATATCAGCTGAAGTCATGGACAAATCTATAATAAAGGCAATAAAAATCACATGGACTGATTACGTATTACATACACATAAAGAGAAGTCACTGATTACACAGCAGGCTGAATATGTTCCTTCCACGGCTGGCAGTAACTCTCAAAGTTAAACAGCTGAAGTTACAAGCCTTGCCTTGGAAACAGTATTAGCTGTTAATATGTATGATGGTTGGCCTTGGTGCTTTGCAGCACTGTGTTTAATTGCACAAATTTTGTGCAGAAGGAGCACATGCCAACAGCTTCTGGGGCCAGCTCTATTAATACTGGCATCCCTCATGGTATAAGGTGATATTCTGAATCTGAAATAGGTTTTGCATACTATATATATATATATATTTGAAACTGCTTATAAAAACAAGCTTTCCAGAGGATTGTCTTTAGGGTTGTGGGTTCTTTTTCTCAGAACAGGACACAGAAATGTGTCCATTTATTCACTGTGGTTTTACCCTTATACTTAAGTGTCTTTAAGGAAGGGATTCTTTCTCCTGTCATAGCTATTAAATACACAGTGAAGGGTGGCTCAGGCCTGTATAATCAAGGATAATAAAAATAAATAGACCATAAATAGACCATAAAGGTCAACAAACAGAATTCTAAAATGTATTTCCAACACAGGCATTTTATTTGTAAAAGCATTCTAACCATGATGTCATTTTCAAACCCAGAAATTTCTATTGCTATAAATAATAAGGAAAGAAAAAGCAAAATAGCAAGCATTACAAATTTGAAATACCTGTCCTGCCTTGGCATTTTCACATACAGATGTCTCATATGGAACTGAAATTTCAGGAGGAAACTCGTTGACATCCAGGACATTTATTATAACGTTGACTTTGCTGGTTAATAGTGGGTTACCTATAAATGATTTTTAGGAGAAAAGCATTAAGGAATACTACTTATGTTTGTTGTCATCACCAGTGTCCATGAGCTGCTATAAACTGTTTTGATCCCAGTACTGTTACTTCTAAAAGCCCTTGACTTCCATTTATTTCTGATTTGTGCTAAAGAGAAATCAGAAGCAAACTTCTTATCGTTTTGTACCAGACTTTGATCCATTACTCTTCACGGGGCAAGGAATCAATCAACATGATTATGTTTATCAGAGCATAAATTAAAGAATTTGAAGTTGTACCTGTAATTAAAGATGCAAACTTTTCTCAGATCACTTTTCATGGACTATGTGGAAAATGCTTCCAGTGATTAAAACTGAATTCTGTTTTCCACAATGGAATGCAGAAAATCAATATTTATTACTTAGCCACTGTTTACATCTTCAAGATATTAAGGAGGTAAAAGTGGAGCATACCCATTTAAAAGATGGAGAAAAGTAAGAGAGAAAGATATAAAGAAAAATCTTGCTGAAAGCCAGACAGAGTCAGTGGTAAATTTAGCAGTGTAATATGTAAAGATAGCATTCATTCAACTTGTGGTTAAACCATTAGGCTATGTGGTAACAGATATTTCTTTAACTGCATAAATATTTGTGAGCAGCAAATACTTTTGTGCAAAAGAAATGCTAAAAATCAGTTTACATTATGCTTCTTTCCATTGTCCTACCAATGCAGATAATCTTCATCAGTCACTAGATGCATTTTATAAACAAGTTTACCCGCAAATGCAATGTCGGACAGAAAGGAGACACAAATTCAATACAGAGCAGACAATATTCTCCGTTACTTTACGCTGAGACCTCTTGTGAGATAGCAGATACACAGAAAACAGTTTAGCTGGTGAATCAAAAGGATAATTCTTTTCTCCTTTTGCATTTAAGATGAGTGGCAGCCACTATACAGACACAGTTAACTATTCAAGAAATCTATGCTATGACTCAGGGTGGTGTAGGAGTCACAGCATGGGGTCATGGTTAAGTACAGGAACAGTTTTCTTGAATCTTCAGACATCAATGGACCCTTCAAATTATTTGCATTAGCTGCTTACTTCAAAGTTTGTATAAACCTTTGCGTTTCAGTTGTTTATAACTAACACAGCAAGGGGCAAAGTCTCTTCATAGCGGCACTGTAGAAACTGTGAATGATTTCTTTCTTGTTCTTAGGAACTCCTATAGTGTTTTCAAGAGGCCTTTGTCAAAGCCAAAAGGTATTCCCCAATGTTTTCCTAGTTAAGTAGGACCAGCTGCAAGTAGAAGTGTGCTTTACCTGTTTACAAGTAGTGGATAAACTGACCACCCTACAAACTCAGCTTGGAATCTACAAAAAAAACCCAAACAACCCCAAAACTCACTACCCAAATCACACAATATTTGTAGTTCCTTCCTATGAACATATCTATTTAACAGTGAACATATCTAATAATATCTCTCTGAATCCTCATTCATTTCCAATTCAGCATCACCCCTACTTGCAGAACATCTTTGTGGAGAAAAGCCTTGTGCAGCATGAATGAAGAGAGTTTGGTCCTGCAGCTGGGAATTAGCAATGATTCTTCAGGTGCCCAAAGAGCCAGAAGAAATCTAGATCACTTGCTCGCACTTGAATTGGTTCCTTTGTATAATAGGAAACAAAAAAGTCCTAAGAAGTTATTTTAGTCAGTAGAGGGCAGGACCCTGACTCTGAATATATACAAAGATCAGAAAAGCCCTGAGTAGGTCAAGTTCATGCAGTTACTGGCAGAAACAGCCTAACTTAAAACTTCCCTCCTAGCAGTACTCGCTGCGAAGAACTCAGCAACTCACACGGAGTAACTCAGGTTTACCTTTAGTTTTTGTGTGTTTATTTTAAGGTACAACACTGAACAACAGGAGCTCAGGATACATTCTCCAAACACATCAGAGATTAATGCATTGCCATGAAAGTACAGGCATAGATGTTACTTTGTTTCCTTTTGGTAATGTGTTAACAATGCCTTTCCAGTAAAAGAATGAATGTACTCAAAATTTATGCATCATGTCCATGGGAGATATTAGCTGATTTTGATAATTTCTATTGAATATATCAGTTTCTATAAGAAGTCTTTTTAGGCTATATTTTTTTGAAATATCTTACATAAATGATTTTTTCAGCTATTTGGAACAGTGTACATACTATGAGACTGTATATTTTTTAAATGAACAAAGGGATTTGATGTTTTGCCTTCCCTCAAACTCACGATAGGATAGCATGCTTTGGAAATATGAACAAATATGACTACACTTTTAAAATTTATTTCTCACTGATGGTCTGTGATTTATTTTCTATGATTCTTTGAAAGATACATTAGAGGCCAAAAATCTTTTCTTCCTAAGTATTTCAGCAAGGTAGAATTTTACCTTGCATAAATGGTCAGCAAAAATCAAATATGAAAGTAAACAGAATTACTATAGCAGAAGATGGACCTACTTCTGGATTTCACTTTATTTATGTGATTCATTTTCTTTCTGGTTTGTGCTAGTATCAGTTTAACTGTATATAAAGAAAGACAGCAAGAAGATTGTGTACAGCTTTGAATTCATATATAATTACAAAGACTTATAATACTTGATGTGAACGAAGATGATGAATTGCATTTCAAATACCACTTTGCAGACTTGACCTCCATTTTCTGGTTTTTGTTTTGTTTGCTCTCTGTCTCAAAATCAAATCTTTTTGAGCCCTGTGAGCACAGTAGTGACGTGCATGCTGGTATCAGTGAGTGAGTCACTGAAGACATCTGCTCGTGCCTTTTGAACCAAGATTACACAGAGAAGAAGACAAGTTGGTTAAATCATTAGCCTAGGAATTAAGAAACTGATTTCAGGTTTCAATTCTGCCCGTAAGATACAGGCAAATTAGTTAGCTTCTTCCTTCCTCAGTTTTCCTGTCTTTAAGACAGTGACAACACTGTTTCCTTCTTTTGCTTGAGTACCATCATCTGTTAACATCTTCATGGTTCAAGGATATTACAGGTGTAGAAAATATGTAAAATACTTTGACTAATGGACTTGTGAAAATCCAAGATATCTGAGCAAATAGATACCATTAAGGAGAACTGGTGATTCCTTAACCCCAGTTATGGTATGCAGCAGAAGATAAACCCTATCTTGAGATTTAAGCTGAGGTTTCTTTAATATTTACAAAATTCAGGCCTAGACTTAGAGGAGTTGGGACGATGATTTGGACAGGAAGGATTATGGTTACTTTGTATTTATTTTCAACCTTAACTAGCGTCTTCAGGACAGGAAAGCAGAAATAAGATCTTATGCATCTTATCTATTTCCTCTTTTCTAAGATGCAAAACCCATTTCCATAGTAGGTAATTAAGCAGCACACTGGGGAACTTTTTGAGCACTGGACTGTGATTTTTTTATATCATTATCTTCTTACAGCAGCCCTTGGCACAGTCTTAGCCTGGGGCAACTAGTGGTCTTGCGGACAATTCACATGCATGTGCTGGGAGTTAGTATGGGTGAGGGACCACTCTCAAAGAATTGATTTACATATGGGCACCCTGTTTGGAAGGTAAGAGTGTTTAATGGCGTAGAAATAGGCTACTCAGTGCCAGCTGGCCTTTGTGCTTGAAATGAACGCAAGCCATGTATAATTTATTAGTTTGGACGGAGTCTGTGGGCTTAAAAATGTTCAGAAACAGCAACCATGGAGGCTACTAGGGTGTTGAGTTCTAAGAAGAAAAAAACTACAATGAAATATAGTCAGGGAATGAAAAGAAGTATGGAGAAATTGGGAAGTGAAAAGGGGGGGGGGGGGAAATGTGAGTCTGAAACATCCTCTCCTTGTTCATGTACTTTGTTCTATATAAAGGATGATTTTTTTATTTCTACAGATGGGTAAGGGACCTTCTGCATTCAGCTGCCTTCACATTTGTCATCACCCATGTGTCAGCAGAACAATCATCCAGCTCCCACTTAAAAAGATCTCTACTTTGGGACAGACTTCTCTAACAACAGCGAGAATAAAGTTATGGTGTCTTGTGTTAAATACAACAGTTGGCTACCCATCACTCCATGCTGGGTACACCTCTGAGATGTTCTCCAGAGTCAGTTGTGCTGCTATTTGGAGACAGATTCCCAGACGGTGTTTAGATCAGATGTTTGGAATTTTTTCAGGGTGAGAAATAAAAATCACAGTATAATGATACATGGTCAGAGTTGGTCATTGCATAACTTGAGTAGAGTAACTTCCCTTATCCCAGTTCCCTAGGTGGAACCAGCAGCTACTGTCCTTATGTAAGATCTACTGTGTTATTGCTGGGTAAGCAGGACTTCCCTGGCTGTGAGCACACAAGTTTATACAAGCAAGCCTAGGACAAGCAGATTTCATAATTAACTGTTTGCTAAGGGTCCAAATTTTGCCTCTCTTCAAGCTGCCAAACTGCACCTTGTCTGGTGTAGGCAGGGATGAAGGGGTAGGACCTGAAGTTCAGGGAAAAATAATCTCAGTATATATACATTTTTATATGTCAAATAAATGCAGAATGAGGACACTGGACATGAAACCATTTACAAATTTCCAAAGAACCAGGCTTTTGAATAAGACTTTTTTTTTTTTTTTGCCTCCACAATAGGTGACGTCAGCAAAGATTACTTTAGTAAACACAAGGTAATTCTCTTCTCCCTCATTTTTGAAATGTATTCCTTTAAAAATTATAACTTCTGGTGCTTTATTGCTAATAATAGTCAGATTTATCAGCTTGTAAGAAAAGTCTAAATGGTACATCCATATCTACATTTACATTTATCAATTGCTTGCTGCTATATTTAGCTATCTAACCTGCACGCCATTTATGCCATTGTTTCATAGGTAATTTGATAGCTCAAAAGTCATAATATTATTTCAAGACTTTAGTGGCTGCGAGAAATGTAACACAAGCATCATCTGTGATTCATACAGGGTTTCATTTTGAAGCTACAGAAGAACAAAGGGGAACAATCACTTAGAAGGCCTCAGGACTAAGGCACAGGCAGGGAGTCCAGGCAAGCCTGCCCATGACCTTTGCATCATTTTCCATGTAAAGGAGAATGATGGCAAAACTACTTTAATATATTTTTCTCTCTGACTTGATGCAGATAAAGCTGGTGGCCTTTGTTTATAATTGGCCTGTTCAAGAAAAGATAATTTGCAGAATGACCATTAGGATGTGTCTAAAAGGTGGGGGGTTTTGTTGTTGTTATTCTCTCACACTGATAAAGCAAAATACGTATTTTAGCTATAAAGTTCTTTAGGTAACAGAACTTAATATGACTAGTTTGGAGTCTGTTTATTTTAATGAGATAAGGTCATAGAGAACTGAACGAGGTAACAATAGTGTCCATTCCTGAGGCAAGTTTATGCAACTAATTGCAATACTGGGCCACTGTCCTTAGGTAATCATGTATATGTCAAGGCACTGTTCATGTGCTTTTTCTCTAAGAAGAGATGGCAGTTTCAGTGTTTCTATGTCAGCACTGAAAAAGTGGCAATTTTTTTTTATAGCAGAAATTCTTCAAATATAGTAACCCCCCCCCGCCGCCTTTTTCTTCAGATGTTTTCTTCTCTTCTTTCTAACCTTTTCTGGTTGTGTGCAGTGTGTCATCCCTCAAACCCTAGCCTTTATTTCTGTGCTAGCTCTTAGTCAGACAACTGCATATAAAGTTTAGTAGTTAGTATACCTCAAATCCTCCAAAATATTGCCAATTACTGGTGTAGTACAGATAAGGCAATTGTTTTTAATGCTATGGATAATGGTCAATGCATAATATTTTGAGGTATGCTGAAATTAATCACAAATATGTCTTAGGTGTAGATTCTTAACTAGGCAATTGTTAAAATTGGGAATGTCATAATACAGCCTACCTGCTACAGCTCTACATAAACATGATATTACTATATATGTGCCGGGAAGGTGCACAGACAAGTAAACTTGGAGGTTTTAGCTAGCTTTAATTACTCTTGGGAATAATAAAGAGATTCACATCAAGTTTTCTAAAACTGTTGCCTTACTGCAGAAAAAAATTACAAATCTCAAATGTACTTTATCCACCAATAAATCCAAATAGTTAAGCTTTACTGAAACATAGACTATTACGAGATGTCCCCTCTGCATCTACCTGCCTTTCAGTTTCTCTGGAAACAAATTACACTTCTGGTGGACTTTCTGTGAATATACACACGCACATGTATCTCTATGATGTACTCAATCACTTGTGGTAGTTTAGTTTCCTCTGTTAGTGTATTCCTTTTCCAAGATACAGATAAAATGCAAGTGTTCATTTGACTGGTGTCCTCGTTATGTTTTCAGGTTCCAGGGAGGGAGCCCATGGTTCTTTTTCAAATAACTACAACTGAAAATTTTTATTTATTTGTTTTAAATAACGTATACCTTCTCTGCTTCCAAAATCTCTCTCTTCCTGTTAGTAGCATGTATTACTTTTTGAAGACTCAGTGCCAAGCAATACATTGAGGAAGACATGTTCTTTGCTTTAGAAACTTGCATTTCTGGACACATGAACAATACAGAATGAATAAGAAATGCAGCAGGGGTCCTCTTCTACAGCCTATTGATGTCAACAGGAAGACTTCTGTGGCCTTTACACAACTGCTAAGTGACCAAAAGACTCGTATTGAAAGGGTGGTATACGCCTACAAGAGTTTCAGTTTGACGGGATCATGAAGGAGGAATGCTACACAGAAGGAAGGCAATGAAGAAAGCTGCAGCTACATAATACAGCAGAAGAAGGGAGTTATTGTTTTAAAAAAAGCTATGTAGGAGAGGACACAAAGACAAGAAATGAAAAAAACCCCCACCCCTCCACAAATCGTATAGGAAAACAAGTGGTTAGGCATAAAATCTTGGGCAGAGTGAAAACACAAGAGCAGAGATGCAGCACACAGATTGATTCATTTAGGGCCTTAAGTCTTCACTCAATTTTAGTGTACTTTTTGTCTGAGAATTTAATGAGTCTTTAAATTTTTCTGCCTTCAAAAAGCAGATTGACAGACCTGTTATTTGACTAACCTAATTTCATAGGGAGTGAATTACAAAATCACAAATAAGAACTGGAAGGCCTCCATACAGCTCCTCATGCTCTTCATGCTGGCAAGATGTTTTTCAGTTTCTGAGGGAACTGTGCCTACATGAGGGCTCCTAGAAAAACCTTACTGTACAGGGCTGTTTGAACATCACACTTAGCCTCACAGTGAGTCTGGCAAAATGATATTTATTGAGCCTTTTTAAATAATCTCTTGGCAATACATGCACTCTTCACAGCATATTTATGCCTGAGCACTACATTCTGAAAAAAATACCACATTAGCATATTAATTCAGTTTGTGTCATACTTACTAACTTTACTTGCAATTATAGAGAAATTGTACTGTGCTGTGCTTTCTCTGTCCAGTATTTCATTAGTAGCAATGGTTCCTTCAGTAGCATCTATTGTAAAGTAGCTGTCCACATCATTCTTCCAATCGATGAAGTATCTGTATGTGAAAAATATTAAACAAAGTAGATGCAAATCTGCAAAGATTACTCATTTATCAAAACAGCAGTCTAGCTAGCTCAAGTTTGTTATTTTTCTCTTCCTAGCTATTACCATCCTTGCAGGAAGAAGACAATAAAGAATGATTTATTTCTTTTTTGCAGAGTTGGAATGCTCAAGGGAAAATGGGATATAATAAAAGATTTAGTACTTCTGGTGTTCAGATTATTTGAAAACTCTGAGCTCCCAAGAAGTTGATGCACATCTTCTGTGACCCTGATCACTTATACCAGTCACTTTGGAAAGCACTAGATAGGCTTAGAGGGGAAAAAAAGAAAAGATATGTGAAATAGTGCTTAAGGTATGAACAGCGATGAAGAGTGGATCAGATCTGGTCTCTGTACATCCATTTGTAGCTGCAATAGGCTGTAAGCAGCCTCCCTGGGCTTGCAAAGAGGTGTCCTGGTGGACGTATATGGGCTGTTGGCACAGGCTACTCAAAGGTCCCTCAGGGATGTTGGCAGAGTCACAGTATGGGAGATGGAGAAGAGTGTGCTTATTCCCCCACATAAACAGCAGCAATAAAAGGCTCTTTGCCTTTGGGAAGAACAGGCAACCTCCAATTTCACTGGAGCTGTGAGGAACAGGGCAATACTGTTGGTTTTTTTATTCTCCTGAGCCTTTGTTTGTCAAGAAATATGAACATAGAAGAGATTCAAAACTCAAAATGTGTATTTATTTGTTATTTTTCCCTAGCAAGGACTTAATAGAAAGCGGAGATGCACTTGTAAACATAGCTGCTTAAAAGCAATCTGATAATTATTCCAAACCCATTTCCCTTAAATGCTAATTAATTTGAAAGTCTATTTTCACATTTGATGCTACTGTTTGTAGTCATAACAGAATAATAATTTTTCTGATGCAGTACCGCCAGCTACTAATTTCCTTTTCAGTGTTAGTCTCTTCATACCTTGTCGATGTTTCTCAAAAACTAGGCAGGATGAAATTGAGAAAGCTATTTGTGAGCAGTAGGCAATAAGACCGAAACGGCACTCAAAAACAAGTACATTTAGAAGATCATAAAGGCCAGAGGACCATTCCTGTGACACCTCATTGCATTTAAACCAGTGAGAATAAGAATAAAAGCTTGTATTTCCTTCTCTGATTAGTGTGATTTATGGAAAGAATATATAGGGAATGTAATGATAAACACTGTGTTTACTGCTGTAGAAGGAAGCAATGGTAGAAAGGGGTATATGGCATATTTCTAAAGAAAATATCTCAGATTGGGACTCAAGAATGCCAATAGCTCAGGAAGACTCGAACAGTAAAAAAAAAATCACAAATAAGGTACCATGCTTCTTTGGAGACATTTGTTTAATCAGAATCACAAGAAAATCCTATCTGTAGATGAAATAGGCTATTTCATCAATTGACAGGCATCATTACCAGTTCACCGCTTTATCTGAAAAGCCTCAGAAATGGTTTGCTGAAGGCAGCATGTATCCTTTTACACAGCTGAGCAGGCACATTTTCTTGAATATGATAATATCGTCTACCCACATTTGTAATTTCGGTCTCATTGTTCAAAATTTGGTTGACATAAAAATTATGAAAAATATATAAGCCATTTATTAGAAATATCATTACACTGACATACTCTTTCAGGAACAGTAAAATTACTCTTTCAGGCTTTGCATGTTTAATAGATTATAATTTCTTCCAAAATTAAATATGCAGCCACACACAAATAAATTGGATCAAAGCATGAGAAAGTAACTTTGCTTATCTTTCCCCTTAGGAAGATTAGCTTTGTCTAAGTACCATACACACCACAGTATAAGCCAGTGAAGAAAGTACAGGACCTAATTCAAAGCACAGTGTAGGTGACAGCCTCCTTCACCAGCAGGCTTTGAAACTCCAGAAAACATATTCAGTTTGAACACTGTTGTGTTTGAAGTTGAGTTCAAGCATGAGTATTTGTAGGATCCGAATCTGATAGTCTATCTGCAAGCGTTCACACAGGTGATCAACTTCATGCACAAGCCCAGAATGCCTACTCCTAAACGTAAGCATCAGCAGGATCGATGTCCTCAACAAGCAGTGCGAGGCTAGCACTACTCCTGCTGGGACTAATGGCAGGATTCCTCTCGGCTTCCCTGGAAGTGGGATCTGTGGGAATTGAACAGTTTGATAAAAACAGAACTGTAGCACTTCTTCTAAGTTCATTGTCTTCGCCTCTGTTAACACTGTGGAAACTATTATGCCAGTATTGGTAGTCTTTTTTTTTTAACTTTGGCATTATCTTTGAAGTCATCCCTTCCTTCCCTCTCCATGTGCTGCACATATGGTAAAATTAGGGGTGGAACAGCCAGTCGTTTCAGCTCCTCTCATCCTAAGAGGCTATATATTCAATTAGACTACAAAGGGAAGAGGAGTGGGAGGAAGTATTGGAGATGTATTGTGTAAAATAGAGATATTTACAGGAAAAACTGTGAAAAAGAAGCCATTCTTCCTCCTTTCATTGGTTGTCCATGTGCAGTACCCATGAAAACGTATCTGGCAGAAGATCCTCTTACAGACGGCTCTTCTGGACATAGCATTGCTCCCAAATACTTCAGGAAGTCTGTAAGGCTTAATAAAAGAGTGAATGGGACCCCATCTGGCTGCTTTTCAAAGGCAAATTTGGGGGCCATCCCCAAAGGGGGGTGGCTTTTCAGGGAGGCCCTGAAAGAAATGTCGTTTCCTTTTACAGCCCAAAAGCACTCTTTCATGCAGTCTGATGCTCACTGTAAGATTCTTTGTAAGCAGCACAGCAACACTTAGTCTTTTTCTAAGGTTGACAGTATTGCCTGAGCTTTGTCTTTTACTTGGAAAAAATGTGTTCAGGAACAGAACAAATGGCAAAAGGGTCTCCAACCAGAAAAATCTGTAACTTTCCAGAGATAAACCCAGGTATCTGGGACATAAAGCCTGACATTTCTTGTTAGATTGTGACACAGAGAGGAACACTGTTGAAATACTGGTATTAGGACAGCTGTCTAGATCTTCTAGTCATGGTCTAGCAGTTTGAAGCAACTGAGGTTGGTTTGTTTGACTGCTCAGAGTGCCTGCAAGACAGATCATGGATAACTGTACTAATCCGAAGAGGCAGCTCCCTCCTTGAAAAGTTAGGGAGAATTTACTTGTTGACACAGGACACAGCAGTATTATTTTTCAGAAACATCTGAACAGGCCTGCCCGGCAACTCTGAGTACCAGGACATTGATATATAGTTTATATTCACTGACAGGGAAGAAACTTTGAACTATAAGTCTCCCTGAATATTCTTCCCAGCAGAAGACTGTGTTCCAGATTATATTAGTGAAGGCAGGGGTGTGGGGGATAAGTGTGGAAGGATATACCTTTGCTAATGTTGTCTGTGTCTTCTCAGGAATAGCTATATTTGTACCTCAAGTAGGACAGAAGAGCCAGAATGGAAATATTTGGTTTATAATATGGTAAGAGTCAAGTCTGTAGGACTCTCATACAGAGCATTCACAAAGACACGAGCTGCCATCTTAAGAGCTCCACGAGTAATTTGCATTCCTCTTGGCTAAGCGGTGAGGCTCTGCATAGCCTATGGGGTCTTACAGAGCACTCCCCCGAAAGAGGGCTCATCTTTCGAAGAGCGGAGGACAGTGGGGAAGCCTGTATCAACTCTACCTGCAGCACAGAAGATAGACAGCAGAGTGCTTGATGGAGCGCTGTTGAATACCTGAGTGACAGCAGATCACCCTGGTGAGGATAAGAGGAACTCTGAGCCGTTAAGCAGACAACTGTAGTTGCTTCAGACTGATATACCATGAATAAAAGAACTGGAGAGCTGTCCTGCTGCTATGGAAACATGCGTGACAACATGCTCAGGAGGGATGGGATGTGGCAGGATGCTAAGGAGGCTGTGAAGCTCAGGATTTGGGGTGCGGTTTTGGTCTTAAAAATGTGGAAGGGAAGACTTCCCTTGCCTAGCACAGATGGCCTTGGGAACAGTGGGGGTCCATCCTCACCAAAAGTTTAAAAACCTTGCCAAAGACTTTCTTTGTTGCTCTGTCTTGATAGTGACAGCAGTGGTGACACAATGCAACAGAGGAATCATATAACAGCATGTAACAACTTACAACATATTACCATCTTTCTTTTTTCTTTCTTTTTTTTTTAGTTGCTGCTTAAACACAATGCAGAGTTTGCATTTGTTTGCCCATGCATTGGTCCTTAGTGGGGATTTCACCAGCTGTTCCCAAACTTGCAGAGGAAGGCATATCGCAGCTTGGGCTTAGCTCAAAAAGGGGACCTTAGGAGAAAGTTACAATGTCCTTTACAAGGTAATAGCCGTTTTTTCTGTTTTTCAAAATTCACCTGAGTATTCTAGTCTTGCTAGTATTACCTTCCTAATGAACAACCTAAACTGTTATGGTTTCATACTCAAATCTCCATTGCATTCTATGTACACACACACACCCATATATTATAAAATTTTCTGTTGATATATCCGCCAGCTAAAACATATTACAGCCACCATCGGTGCTCAGTATCATTTTCTTTTCTCAGCTCTCTTTTGATAGGGTTTTACTGCCTCCAAAGAACAACAGAAGCAAAGTACTGGCCTAAGTATTTTGTTCTATGTTTTTCAAGAACATAGGGACACCTTCTTAGGAGGTGGTTGTGGTTGCTGGGATCATTCTAGTGACGGAAGCACTCTCAGGTCTTCCTCTGAAAAGGATGTCATAAATGTAGAGGAAGAAGAACTAACAGAGAATGAAGAGGTACCAGAAAAATTTGCCAGCTGCACAATGTTGGCATGGTGAAAGCTGGGTCATATCAAAGTCTAAGTGCTCTCCTGTGCATTCCTAGCCCAGACGCACCCCAGTGCATTTATCCTTGCTTTTAGTCTCGTGTAGCTGACAGCTACATCCATCCATACTGAAAAGCAGCATCCAGGTCTCAGACAAGCTACTTTGACGT